ACTGGGGTATTATTTTATAGTCTAGTTCATACCCAATAAACAAAGACTCAACATGTTTTTTCATGAGAAAACCGATATCATTTAAACTTTAAATTTGCAAACAATATTCAACATTATTTTAAAAAGAAAATGTTTTTAAATGACAGTTGTAACAATAAATTATGGAAAAAACATCATTATTATAGAAACTCCATAACTCTCTTATTACCGTGAGTCAATATGATTTCTAGACGATCCGGCCCTGGTTTGTTGCGGCCCTGGTAAAAAAAAGACGTTCCGGCCCCAAAACAGTTTGGTCGATCCGGCCCTGTTTAAATTATATTCGATACGTGTTCATATCTAATGTTAATATATTAAATGCACAACGAATGCTTGACTATCTTGTTTAACAACAATTTTTCGTCTTTTGCAGGGCATTTTCACGATTTCACACCATCGTCCTGATACCGTCAATATCAAGACAATGGAGAATACAGGAAACCAAGTAAAATCTGTCAATCCGCAAACACGAACGATTTACTTCTTTACTGAGCTTTACTTTACACCATATAAATGGTCTAGCAGATTTCATGATTTTAGGATGGACACTGCCACTTTCTAGTTAGAGACTTTAGAGTACATCGGTTACGACAATAAAATGACAAATCGAAACGAAAGTTTTAAAATTTACTAACCTGTAAAGCGATCTGCTGTTTTAAATGTTCATATGGCATTGGAATCTGTTCCCTTTGGTACATTAAAAACTTGACAGTTTCTGTAACCAGTCTGCACTGCAAATGGGGAGGCACATGACCATTTAATCCCACTTCACAAGTTTCTGTGGGAATACATTGCGTGCAGCTTCGCAGAGAGGCCTCCATTTTGAATTCACCGGTTGGTCTGTGTGTTTGTTTGCGCACTTAAAAGATCTTTCCTCGAGGGGACTTCTTCTGTGAACTTGAACCTTAGCGTGAGTTGGGCAGTTTTTAAAAAAATGTTTAATCTGCTCAAATAGCTCTGTGTAATCTTGTTACGACGTCATACTTACGAGATATTGCTATCTTTTAAAAATATATTCGGACTTTAACTTTACTCCCCTCTGTAAACAAACGTAAGAGCTGCTACTGGTCGCCCGAGGTTTGAACAATTGGCTGAGATCACATAAATGCTTTTAAAATTACAAAATTTTAAAAGTACAAAATTAAAATATCATATGTATTTAAAAATTGTGTTTCTGTGCCAGGCAGGAAACATGAGTGTTTCTACATTCAGATTTACTCATTTACGCCGTAGGTGGTGTGCTTAGCAGAAAGATTTCGACAAATTATATATAAAATAGTGCATAAACACGATTAAAATCTATGAAAAATAATTATATATTCTTAATGTAAAAATGTAATTTTTCAATAACAACGACGGCTTTCTTCTGCATTCAGATTTAACATTTTCCGACGTTGGTGGCGTAATCAGCAAAAAAATTTCAGACAAATTTGCCAGAAGATATACAAAATTAAAATCTATAAGAAAATATTCTTTGATATATTCTATATTCAAAAATGTAATTGGTGTGTACCCGTGTGTCTATGTTTGGCAGTAACAGCGACCTTTCTCCCGCATTCAATCAATTCATGTACAGGCAGGCCTGTGTTTGCCCTGTCACTTCAGCAGCATTTTTTTCGACAGGCATGCAGACAGACAGATAAAAACGAACCAATTTCATTTTTGAAAAATACATTATATTAAGGAATGTTTTGTTTTTTTTTCACACAAATTTAATTTGTATGTCTACACAAAAAGAGTAACATACTCACATATAAATGTCTTGGATCTATATAGGGGATAGTTTATTACTAAAACACTACTAATTAAGAAACCAGTGTTTTCACCAGGAATATTCAAATTTATCCAAATGTGAACATGCTGACTTTGAAAACACTTGTAACGTACATATCCGGGTGACATTAGTCCATAAGTTTGGTCTGTAGTTTGTTTTTTTTACCCTCCAAGCTGCCTTTCCATATTGCTGCAGTACAGTGCCCTCACAGGC